TGAGCACATGAGTAATTTATCCCATACTAACATTCCTTTACGTAAAATTTTCTTAAAATTATATCTGTTGCATTGGTGATACTATATATTTCCAGGTTTTCAAATATTATTATCCATGTAACCCCACGCTTTCATTTGTAATCTGTCAGTGAAATGATATAATACACAAATTTACATTACATAACACGAATGAAACGTTTCAGACAGGCTATCTATCAAATTAGTTGACAATATTGTTAATGCAAAGGGTATTTTTACAATAATTATAAAGATTGTCAGAGATTAAATGCCCTGGCGAGTTCGAAACCCTTTCGCATTCGATTATTATTGTCTTCACTCGTCATCATTACTATTATTGCCACATTGTTGTTGTATCAAAATGCCTTCTAACATCACACAACTTAATGTGTAATATATACAAAAAATCTTTCAGTTCATTTTTCAACTCCAAACGACCCAAATCTTTTACTAATAACCTTGTTTTCATTCATATGTTCAGACGACCTTTTTTGTAGTAAAGGGAAACCGAGCAGATGAAGGGAAACCGAGCGAGCGAGCAACATTATTCTAAAAATAAAAAAGAATCTATAAACATCGTCCTGTTCTAATTTGCCAAAGGCCTTGTATTAAATCCACAACAAAGATGGCAAATTCCCGAATTGTTATGACGGACCGCATTACAAAATTATTAATGTAAGGCAGAGAAGTTGTTTTGATCCAGCTGTTGTGACTGTGAAGATGTCCAACGTTGCAGAACAGATTGCTCTCTATCAGAGGAAATTGGAGAAATATGCCGGCACGGGGGAGACAGATAAGGTAAAAGGAAATACAGGAGAGCCCATATGTAGCAATGAATAAGGAATAAAATTAGTGGAGTTCGTGAAAAGACGAGAGAATAGGCCGAGAAATCCAGGGCAAGTGGCGAGACGGAGAGAAGACCCGAGTGCAGTTTTCTTCCCTCGGTCTAGATTTCTCTTTAGATAATCGGCCTTGGTGACCCTAAAGGCCACTGGCTTATCCAGGGCTTGTTGCTCGTCGGGCTTAGGAAGATGTCGTTTCATAGGCAGCAGAATGAGAGGAAATCTGAATGAAATTACAAGCCCAGCATGTTGCAGGATTCCTGTACTGATAAAACGGTTTACTGATAATAGAGATGTATGCTTTCTTGAGGAACCTTTTTCCTGAATAAACTGCAGGATGATAATTCTCTGCGTTTGCTGGTCCACTGGAATAGGAACTGCAGAGCTAAAGAACATCCACAAATAGTAGAGAACATGACATAAATATGAACTCATTTTATTTCCATTAAAGTAGAGCATTTAGTCCATGTAAATTAGGTTTTTAACTTTTTGCTTTTATAAGTGATAAACCATACAAGTACACTGGCCTATATACCTTCAGTACACTGGCGAAGGCCGACAAATTTGCGCTAATTACATTCTGGTAAAACGAAATACAGAAATTCCTTGTGATTTATTGCCATCAATTGCCCTAAATAGGTCAGCATTGATTGATATCATAACCTCCATGCTACGTACCATGGCAATGCCTAACAAGCCACTACTAAAAATATTTTGACTATATATTCCTTATTTGATGATAAAGCTGTGAGCTCTATCTTGCCAGCATATACATGGTGGAGGTTTTTTGGCGTATAGTGGAACACAGCCTCTAAGTCAGTGTAGGTTATCTTTTTATTAGCTATCTGGGTGAAGGGTTATGGCACATACATACATATGAAAGCTGAAAAACAAAGGCCATTAAGAATACGTTTAATAACATAAAGCTTAGAAAATATAAGAAAGCAAAGGTGCAACCATAACAGCTTATCAAAGTCCAAAAGTCTGCATTTACATGGCCAAGTATGACATGTCTGTCCATGTATTCTGGCAAGAAGAAGCTTGTCAACGTAATGGTAATTTTGTTTTCAAGGAAAGAGTTTAAGCTCGGTTTTGTCTAACGTATAGGGGCATCATTATCCTGTACATTAATCTATATATCAGTGGGTGTCATTTTGGTTCACTCATTAGAACGTATAGTATATTTTTAAATTATTTACCTTTTTGACAAGTGAGGAAACACAGCAAGTTCAATGCTGCTTGAATAGTACTATACAGAGTGAATGTCTATTGACCTTTGCGGAAACAGCAAAACGCAAGAATCCACTGTGGTTTCATTTCATTACATTGCTCCAAAAGCACTTTATCACTAGGGAATCAAATAATAGTAGTTAACATTACCAATTCCCCTGTTAGTGGTATATTTGTAAAAGAAAGTTTTTTTTTATATTTATATTTTCGGATGGGTTAAGTGTGAAAAGGAAGAATAAGAATTTTGACACAAAGTCGAACATTGGGCATCAGATTAGTATTGGCACACAAGTTATACAATTTAATCACAGTGTAATATCATACAAGATATGAATACACGGATTACCACAGAACCTTTTATCGGTGTACAATAGTGATCACTGGCATTTGGAGCTTTAGCAATAGCATAATTATCATAGATGTTTATACACAGGTGCAGTTGCAAGAGCTTGAAGAATGAACCAGTTTTTCAGTAGAAAAATACTGTTGTTCCTAATTGCATCCTAATTTTATTGCATGTTTGCCAGAAAGGTGTGGGCCTCAAGACAATGGTCACATATCGATCTGAATCTTCCTGCAAAGAGTGTTACTTTCCATTCTGTCATTCATATTATGAGCGCACATACTGTTACTGTTACTTTTGTAAAGTGCGATATTAGAAAGGCAAATAAACCTTCATCACATATATTAGAATAGACGTTAGTTCTGTATTTGATGGTAAATTACTTGGTAGTTCGACAATTTATATTATGTCAGGACAAGACTGGTAAAGATTTGGCTGCCTTTGCTAGAAGAAAGTGGAGTGTGCAAGCCAATACTTCGTTGAATTTAGGCATGTGAGCACAGACGTTGACATGTGATTCTTGAGCTTACCTTTATTCCTTGTTACTTATCTCTAAGTAGTTGATAGAATTGTTTTATTTGTTTTATAGGACAATTAGGGCTCACATTATTTTCTCTCTTCGTGCAGTACTGTTTAGAACTTTCACCATCTTATTTATTTATTCATGGGTATCCATTTTTAATGCCTCTCAGCCAATCACCTCAAGCTGTCTCATGCAGCAGCCAACGGTGATTGGCTGGCAAGTGCAGGATGCCGGTCTGGCTCTCCGTCTAAGGTATCTGAAGTGTCTCTGAATATAAGTGAATAGCACAAAGCCTTTTGAAATACCATTGGTGTCACAGCTGAAGTTATAGAGCTGTTTCTGTGAAAAGAGCAACACTGATAAAAATCAGTCATTAGTTGTGATAAAATTAATTTCATTGATATATATATATACAGCAGAACAGAACCAATGCATAGTAATCATGTGCAGCAAGGGGCAAGTATTTCCCACCTAGAAACCCAATAGAAGTAGAATACTCCTCCTACAGTAACAGTCACTCAAGATTACAAAATATGTATCAGGTGTCTAGATACTATACAGAACTTACAAAGGCATTGCTATATAGACAACAAAAATAATCTCATATGTACTAACAGCAATAGAATCCAATGATTCTAACCTGCCATTCTGCTGCAGGCTGTCTCGATTCTTGTCAAAGATTTTTATATACGTCTCCCCGTTTTCCATTAATATCCTATTTACTATTAACTTGCTATAAAAGGTGAAACAACAGTTAATATTTTTCCACTAAAAACCCATTTTCAAAAAGGAAGTACTTTAGTCTATGTGAAATTACTAAATGTAGTATATTGAGTTACTAAATGCTGTAGTGCCATCATTGCTCTACTGCATAGACAAGTGTACAAACAGTAAATTCCAGGTGACACAGGACCAAGTTATGAAGCTCGACAATATTCAAAGACCATGAGAAATGTTTGTTCTTGTCATTAGCTTCATAGCTGATGTGCTGAATTGAGTGTTTCTCGAATTGCAACTGTGCCAGTGTCAGCAGAGTATGCTTTGTGCTAGCCAAAACAGTGTTTTGCTCCACTGCTCAGTCCTTTTGTATCAGCTTTGTAAAGGTGTCTTTAGTTGTAGGGAAGATTTTTATTATAGAATGTCAGTGATATAGACTTAGATATAGAGATTTATCACATGTACATGTCCTTTTGAAGTGATGTTCCCTTGCATAATAGCATTTATCATTAAATAGTGAGGAACAATTCTCTTTGAGCTCTTATGTACTTTATTTCATAGAGTGATAAAGTGTTGGAGGATTTAGATATGTAATCTATTTCATATGAAAATTTTCTTTGCCATAGTCTACTTTCTTTTGATATTCATTGTTTCTTCCCATTGTGTCATCTTGTTATTCTTGTTCCCTGCAGTATCATTTATATGTATAAAGGTCATGGTTAAAAAAAAACATCTGAATAAGATTAATTTAACTAATCATTTTGTTTTTCTTTTTTTTACCAATTTATGTTCCATATTTTATAAAGTGATGAAGGACTTTATCTATGATGTATCTATGCAGCCATTATCATATACATTTAATTTATATAATGTTTGGTTTTGACTTTTATAGATTTTGCTAAAACTTATTATATCTCAGGGTATTGTAAATGTGAGGTTAGTGAAATTTTGATCAAGGCTTGACCAACAGAAATTAATTTAACCTGATAGAATATATATATATATATATATATATATATATATATATATATATATATATATATATATATATATATATATATATATATATATATATATATATATATATATATATTTATGTCTACAAGTACGTACTCTTAGAAGTTGCCATGGTACTTACGATAGGAAAGCTGCAATTGGCATGCATGGAAATGTCCCATTAATCATTTTATATTTAAAATGAAAGAGTGCACATGGTAACTGTGATATAGCAGTGTGCACTTGCCAGAATTGAAAGTTGTTGCTGTATTCTGTACACATCTTTACATATTAGATAAGGGGTTATTTTGCTGAGCACTGTATATGTTTTGGTTACAAGTGTTTGGTGCTTCAAAAAGTATGTAAATTTACACATATACAATATACAGATAAATATGTATGTATATATTTATGAAAATGTATGTTTAAATACTAGGCTATTATATAGATGAAACATTAAGGTGTGTTTCATCGTATATAAAGGTTAACAATGTTTCATTCATAGAATAAAATTTCACTTCTCCACAGTGAAAACAAAGACAAAAGCTGTTTTAACTTATAAGTATTTCTTCCTTTTTTTTCTGCTATAAAAATGCTTTATGTTATTTTTTGTTTTGCCTTCACAGCTGTTATACTACATCCATAAGCTGAAATATCTGCAAGTGACAGTCAGCCACCTAGAAGAGACAGGTGTGGGAAGATCTGTCAATGCTCTTCGTCATCATTCTGGCCTTGTCGGCGACAAGGCGAGAGCACTGGTCAACAAATGGAAGATGATGGTGACTGCAGAAGAGGAGGAGGAGGAGGAAGAGGAAGAGGAAGATGATGATAGACAGAGGGGAGATCATACAGAAGAAGATAGGGTAAGAGAGAGAGAGAGTGAGATGAAGTCTGCATATAACTAGTTTATTTTTTGAATTCAGAAAGATTGCAAAGTCATAAAGAATGAAGGTGAGGAGAGTTAGGCCTATGGCACACAAATTACTAACTGAGCTCCACTAAAAATTCTGTTTTTTGAGTTTCCTAAGATATCTGGTTCCGATAAAAATATAGCTAGTGTTTTATTCTCATTGCTAGTGAATGGGAACATTAATTCATACATAGCTGTAAAAATTGCCTGGTCACCAAGGAGTCAATTATTGGTCCTACCTTTCTCATTTGGGTACACTTATATAGGATTTTCTTTTTGTGTGTGTGTGTGTGTATTTTGGTATTATGATAATTATAGTGTCAGCTGTAATTTTATAAGTATCGATATTAAGCTTTTGGATCCAGTTGCGTCACAGCAATCACATGGACAAAAATACTGGGAGTGGGTTATGTAAGTGGCCAATATCCAGGTGTACGGAGTGAAGTCAGGGTGCGCACGGACACTCGTGAGCAGTGACATGACTCTGTTCCCCCCTTTGCAAATTTATTTTGCTTGAATATTTTTTTTAGCTGTTTTGCCATTATCCAATGACCATATTTGTCTTTTGATTTGCTTTATTTAGATGCTCAGGGTCCATATCATTTCTCTATGTAGTAAATAACAAATGCAACATTTGGTCATTTTTGTCATATATATCTTATTTTTTCATAATTTTTCAATTTTCTGTAATACAACTTGTCACTGCGGCCAGGAATGCGATGCTGAGCATGTAAATGGCGTTCTCCCTGGAGCCAGCACTTTTCCAGCCACAGTTTACACACATTACATTCCACACTCATTTATCGATGGAAATAAGTCTAATCACACTCCACAAGGTTTGTGTTCTCATGGCCTTTGGTCATGATGGCAAGTTCACATTACCTGGCCCATGGCCATTTTGTCTGATTATGGCATGTTCATGTCACTCAACCCTCAACCCAGATTTTTCTATGACAGGACAGTCACGTCACCTGGATCATAAGGGTTAATAGCATTAATAAAAAAAAAGAAGAAAAAAAAAGAAAAGAAATCAAGGAAGGGTTAAATCAAGCATGGTCACTATAGCCTAATAATTAACTCTTTGGTGGCTAAGCACTTGTGGAGCCACTTGTGTGCAATAAAATCAAGATTAGGTTCATTGGAAAAGGAACTGTAATAGCTAGTAAATAGAATGAATTTTCAAGTAAAGAGCAATTAATTCCTTTGTGAGAGTAAGCAGCTTCTTATCAATATGTTATTATTTTTACTGATCTCATAATACATTATCCAGTTGAGCACAATCATTGTAAGATGTATTGTAAACAGTTGATATCTTGTATCTCAAAAATAAGATATTTTAAAGATTCTGAACATTACTGATAAAGTATAGTTGTGTTTTAAAGATGTTAGATATTTGGAATGTTGTTTTTGTATATATAGTATATAGAATTATCCTGTCTTATGCATTTCTTTAGCAGTCTTGTAAACTTTGCAGGGAGGAGGAAGAGTAAATGTACAGCGGTCTGAAAGAGAGGAGGAAGATGATGAAGGAGCTGTAGCAGAGCCAGATGATGAAATCAGGGAAGAGGAGGATGAAGAAGACAGACTCCAAATTGAAGAGTCTGGGGACATTGCAGATGACTATGAGGACGAGGTGGACTCAGGAACCTATGGTTATGGCCAGCAGAGTTCTCCTGTTGGTGGAGAAAACAGCAATGGATACAACCCCTACACATCACAAAAGGACTACCAGTTACTCAGTGGTAGCTCAGGAGTCTCAGCTGAGTATCATCCCTCTAGTATGGATGCCAAAGCCTCCAGTTACAGCTCCCCAGAAGGCTCATCGGAACCCAGCTGGAAAGAGGCGTCACCAAGCATATCCGCAGATAGGAGGAATGGGAGCAGTTCCAGCAAGTCCTCGTCAAAAAAGAATAGTAAGGAGGACAAAGATCGGCATAAGGAGAAAGAGAGACACAAGGAAAGGGAGAAGGAGAGAAGTAAGGATGGCTCAGGGAGCCATGAAAAAGACAGAAAAAAGGAACACAAGGAAAAACACAAAGACAAACACAGAGATAAGGATAGAGACAAATCTCACAAAGATAAACACAGGGACAAAGACAGAAGTAGTGATAAGCCTAAAGAAGAGTCAAGAAGAGAGGAGAGTGCAGATGGACATAGAGAAGAAAAAGACAGAGGAAAGAAGAGAGATGTGCTCAATGGCTTTAGTACCCCAGAAATAGAGAAAAGATCAAGTGGAAAGCATGAAAGTAGAGACGGTGCAAAAAGAAATGTGGACGAGAAACGAAAAGAGAAAAGTGAAAAGAGTAGTCATGGGAAATTAGAGAGTACAAGTAAAGAAAGTTCAAGAGAAAAAGAGGGAAGGGAAAGACATGATACAAATAAAGAGGGTACCAGAGAAAAGGAGAGCTCTAGTAAAGAGAGCAATAGGGACAGAGATAGAAGAAAAGAGGAGAAACACAGGGACAAACATAGAGACAGCAGCAAAAAAGATAAGGACAAAAGTGATCGGGAACCAAAAAGTGACCACAGAGAAATAGAGGAAGGTTCGGAAAGTGACAGAAAAGATCTGGGTAAGAAGAAGAAAAGCAAAAAGCATGATGTGAGTGAAGGACTAGACTTCGGTGCAGCTTTGATGGGTCAGTACATTTTCCTCTGAGTTTGAATTTTAAGTCTTGAACATCATCACCATAGTGATCATAATCATCCACCACTGTCTTTATTATAATCATCATCACTTCTACTCTGTTCTCACCTTTATAGGGGGTATTTCTTTCCTGTATGAAAATGAAGTTTAAAACTAATTTTAACCCTTCAGTGGCAATTAATGGTATATTGCATTTTGATGTATTTTTAAGTGTCTGGGCAGGAAATAAGTAACCAAAATAAGTGTAGTCTTATGTGGGTACTCCTGCACTGCTTGACATCCTGCACTGCATCCTAGTCATATATAAATCATTTTTTAAAACAAAATAAGTAACCAAAAGTGTAGTCTTACTAAGCAATCTTAGCAATCCCTGCAAACTCTGATTGCTAAAGTGAGCTAAAATTTAAATGAAATCATAGTTGTGATCTCTTTTAATCTCATCTCCAGCCATTATTTTCATTTCTTTACCACATGTTATTCTATGAGGTTAAACTTTTCCATCAGGTAGGAATTGTCAAAGAATATGCCCACTTTTAAGGGCTGCATTGTATCCTTTAGCCTGCCATGGAGTGGTTTGATATTGATACTGATAGTAAGACGTAATTTATATATTTTGTTTTATTTTACATCTGTTGAGTTTAGTTTCATATTTTGATAAAAAGTAGCTACATGAATGCCTTCACTCATAAGCTAAAATAATCAGGTGCTGGAAGATTTTGGATCACATAAAGCGTAATAGCAATCTGAAGCTATATCTAGATTAAAACATTGCCACTGGGGATGGCATGTACATACATGTCATGCCCACTGTGAGTTTAATTTATTAGTTTTGTTTATGCATAGATGGCTCCACAAAGTCACCAATGAGCCAATTATGAGTACCACCTGTCTTGCTTGTTTACTCTTTTGATTTTTGAAAAATGTTTTCTGGTATCTGATATTGCTGTTAGGAATGTCAATAGCACAAGGATAGTTGTGATTATAATAAAATAACAGCAGTGTTACTGGTAGCATTAGTAGACTAAAACAAATAAAGCATTTTTTCTGCAAATTTAAGGAAGGGGGAAATTAGGTGAGGTCACAAGGTCACTAATCGACTTCTTTGTGGCTATGCATACACAGAGCCATGAATGTGCTGAAACATTTCACAGTATTTTCCCAGGGATGGTGGGTTAAGTTTGCCATTGGCTAATATTATTCCTTCAACTTACCAAATGAATATCCAATGGGTTGGTGGTGTTACTTTGAACTGTTGAGGCTTGAATTGATAATCAAGTCCTTATAGCTAAAGTTTCTGGTCCAAGCAGTACTAATGTATCGTAATATGATTTTATTTGGCATCAGTAAAAGTATGATCTTCAAAATGAATTGTCATGTTAGCAAAAGAAAACCAGACATATTTATGTTGTAAATAAAGAGTAAATAATGATGGTATTAAGTAAAAAAGAAAAAGTACATAGCTTTCAATGAAATTCAGATATAATATGATAATAATGCATTGTAAGCTTAGACTATTTAACCCTATGCCACTGGAAAATTACGTGCACTATAATATTGTTTTGCGAAATGTATCTATGCATAGATAGCTCCACAAGTGGCCACCAAAGAGTCAATTTGTAGACCACATGACCACACCTGATTTCAAAGATGTTTTTTCACTAATACTATCAATATTAATGCTGTAATTATTATTAAACCATTATGATTATTTTAACATTATTGACATAACTAATAGCAATGTAAGATAAATGAAGATATTCCAGAAATTCAAGGGAAATGGTGAACAGATGAGATAGGTAGCTAGTAGCTGTTAGCAAATGACTCATCAGTGACTTTATGTACTTAGGGAGCCACCTATGTACAAAGACAATTGTAAAAATAAACTAACAATGGACAAGGCATGTACTTACATGCCATCCCCAGCAGCGCTGGGTTAAAGTACAGAAAGGTTATATCTGTTAGGAGATTGCAAAATATCAGTAATAAAGTATTAGCAGTAACCTTTTCATTGTGCAAAATATTTGAACATTGATAGATATCACATTTCATCTCATTCTTCATAATAATTTTCAGGCTTTACCAGTATCTGACATTATAGCCTACCTTTTTCAGTAGTTTCCTTTATTATGTTACATTAGATTGATAAATATACCAGCGTTATTTTTTCTCGATCAAGACTAGTATACATACCAATGATTTCAGACATTCATAAAAATATAGAATAAGCTTTATGCCTCATCAGTCACTTTATCTTTATATAGTTATTTCAGTTCAAGGTTGCTTTATATACTGTATATTGGTTTTATCTTGTATCTTACCTTCTGATTTATTTGTTCACTAAAAACAGCATTCAACATTTGATAACACAAAATTATAGATGTTTGGTCTATGTATTCTAATTATCAGGTCAATATCTTTTGCTTTATTCTTAAAAGGTATAATTTACTGTTTCTATGAATTTTTGTTGATGTATTTATTACTATTTTCAAATATTCAGTCACTTCTTTGTGTAGTTACTTCGTTCACCAGTATTTACCTTCTCTGTCCTTCACTATGTAAGATATTTGTGTATTTACGTCTTGTATTTACCTCTTGTTGTAATTTAGACCGGTGTTTATATACAAATTTATGCTCCCCCCCCCCTTTTCTCCTATTTGTAACTGTTAATTTTTTTCATCATTATCAGAAGCTGGAAAACTGTAACTGCTGCAAAAAATCTTATTGTGTTGCAAGTTAATTAATTGCATTTTGAGTTACCACTTCTATTCTCGGATTATCTTACAATCAGCATAATTACTGCCACGTGTACAATTCAGTATGACTGGCATGAGTTGGCATTTTACTCAGAGGCTTATCATTTCAGAAATTATAGGTGTTTTTTCATAAGTATTTGGCTAAGAGTGGTGAGATAGGATGTTTTATGACACTACGTGATGTCAAAAGAGACAGATTGATAGATGGATTGAGCAAGATTTGATTTGATATGCCAAGTACATACACTTCAGCAATACAAAGACATAACAGTGGTTTTATACAAATGTGCAGCTGTGAGGACACTGGGATATATTGCACAAAGACAGGTTGCTGATACACTACCTGCCTGGTTTCTTTTTGACAGCAGCATTTTCTCCTGTGATTTTGTCATGCTGTAGTAAAGTACTGGTGATTTCTTCATAATTTCTGAAAGTATGCCATTATTTTATGTTCCTTTTGCAGTAATATTTCTACAGATATATTACAAACATTAGTCTGAGGAAAAATTACAGAGGGAAGAGAATGAGGACATAAAACCACATACGGTTCTTGTGTGATTTCTTTAGTGACCGTAAATGGTTAAAGAGTGACTTTACAACAGGAGTGGGCAATTAATTTTTACAAGGGGTCACATGAGAAACCTGAATTGTGTCAGAGGGCCACACCAACGATAACATGAACTTAATTCAGCTCAACTTTCTTCCTTTGTAAAATGCACCAAGTTATATATTTTGAATAACTGGTGCTGGTAAAACTATTCTGTAAATATTTATATTAGGATAGTATAGGTATAATCTTCATATGAGGGCGCAGAAGGCTTGAAAGCAGCATTTAGAGTTGAGTGGCATATGTCGTCGAGTATAATAGTGGGAAAAAAACGGAAAATGGCATGAGCCAGCGGAGACGCTTAACAGGTTAATTTGTGTTGTTGTTTATGATTGGCCTCTCGCAGGCCGGACAGGGACACACAAAGGGCCGGATGTGGCTCGTGGGCTGTAGTTTGCCCAGGTGTGCTTTACAATTTTCTTAAGTAATGTTGTTAACTTATTCTTTTTTGAGCATTGACAGGTATTGCTTTACTTGCATTATAATTGTTTTATATTTTAGTATATCTGAATGTTGATTGTTTTATAACATCTTTCTTAACCAGAGCATTTGCACAGTTCATTCAAATGATTTAGATCACTGGCCTAGGTCATATTTTTCATTAGGGGAAGAAAGGTATGATATGTAACATATTATGATCATTTGTATGTATTGACCTTATTTACATAGATGTCAGAGATGCATTTAATACAATTAATTAATTCTCCAGTCCAATAGAAATAAAAGTAGTTAAAGCTTCTATTGACAATCGTGGTCTATTTATCAATCTGTATAAAGAGAAATTATACTTTTTCTTTGTTATTGTCCTTTGCTTTTAGATGCACTTATAGTACATACATACCAAGAGTTCAGAATATTGTTTTTCCAGCATGTAATTCCCAGTAGCTAATTATTGTATTGAAGTACAGAAATTAGAATTTTCTTTATAGGATCGTTTTTGCATTTCTCCGTATTGCTATAGGTGACATAAAAAAGGCATTGCACCAACATTTAGATATAACTTTAGTGGGTTTTTTGGCTATCAAGTAAAGATTTAGATATACAGTCAGTGTCTTGATATTAGGTGTGATTTTGGTTACTTTATCACTGTTAAAAGCTGTTTAGTTTTTTCTATTCTTCATATTTTCTTCAGAACAAAAAAATCTTGTTCCTTGACTTGCATAAATGGAACAAATGTGGTAATAGTGTGAGTTAATAGCATCAGCTTTTGTACAAGTGAATACTTATTTACAAAACATTGTGTTATTGTGATTTGTTCTCATCTTTTTTTTTTTTTTTTTTTTTTTTTTTTTCCTTTTGATTCATTGTTTACCTATTTATTTTGTCAAGTTGGGCAAGGACTGGTTTCTCAGATTTTGTGGAGGATGATTTACTTTATATAAATATACATATACTATACACGTTCCATTTTGGTTATGTTGTATGATATATATTTAGTGATTGTATGACTGTATTTTTTGTTATAGAGACATCTAGCATATCTCAAAATCATTTTTCTTAAAATGTAGTAATGAAAGATGCTTCACAATAGATGTACTTTGCAACATTCATGCACTGATATTTTGGTTTAAGATTTTGCCTTTGATATTTACTGTTATAAATATATTCGTGGTTATAAGATTTTTTTTTCTAAAACAGGTTTAGAATCACCAGTGAAAAAGAAAAAGAAGAAAAAGAAAAAAGACTCCCAGAAGGACAGGGAAAGTTCAGATGAGGGACAGCCATCCTCAAGCAAGTCATCTAATAAGAGAATGCTGTCTGATGGGGGAGGTTTACCGGATGCTAAGAAGGTGTGAACTAGATCTAAGAAAGCATTGCCTGAAAACTAGTGTGAGGGATAACTGGAATAGATAGATTCTGAACCTAAAGAGAAATGCTTGTCACATAAAATATGCTGTTGATAATGATTGCTGATAATAATGTTTCCATCTACCCACAGCATATGACTCTGTTTCTTTAACTTACAGCAAAAGCTATTGGCAAAACCACCAACCTTACCCTCCCTACCGTCCTCAATAAGTCTGCCGCCAGAGGAGCCCTTGCTTCCAGAGATAACACCTAATTACAAGCCACTGCCAAGACTTCAGCTTAAAGATGATCCAATGGAACACATGTCCTCGAAGATGACTGAAGAGGAGGCCCTAAATATCATGTTTCAGTCAAAGAATAACAGGTATTTTGCTATAATCTCTAACCATTTTGAGGAAACAGGCAAATTTTCTGTTTATAGTGAGGTCAGATTAAAGGATATTTTTTTTTTACCATAACACTCCTAGTAGCCATATAATAGTTCACTATTTCATACTCCAGTATGGTCAATAGCTTCCTGATAAAGGCAGTGGTATTATAATTGAAAATTGAAAAGGAGAATTAGAATGTTTTTTTTCTTCTTCTTCTTTAGGGAAGATGCCTGACACTAGCATTATACAGCTAGGAGAATGATCTGAGCTTTGGTCATTGACTATTTATTCCATGATTGCCTGCTGTATAAGATATACAGTTAGTTTTTCTTACATAGGTAAACAGTGATGAAGAAAGAACATTGTCATATTCATTTATGATAATACTCTTATAGACTGGATTGCATAAAAATGACACATAACAGTTCTATTATCTTTTGTTTAATTCCCAGTTTGAAGAAATATTATCACATTGCTTGGCTAGATAAGCCCCAAGTGCCAAGTTTCTCATCCCGTAGCAGTTTTGTAATATGGACAAAGTTGGTCAGTGTTAACAAATCAAAACAAAAGAGTATCATATACTGCTTGTTACATATTTTGTTCAAGCTTTACTGAGATCCTTTTCTAGGTCTCACATTGTTAATCATTTCAGCATTTGGCTGCTTGCCAATTCTGCCTGTATTCTGTCTTAGTTGTAATTCACTTTGATTATAATAAACTTACATTTAATGGTATCATTTTCATCAAAGTCACATTTTGCAGCTAATTTGTTGCACTTTACCATAGAAGTTTTGATAGGGCTTAGCAACTGAAATTATGTGTTTGGTGTAGAATTGTATGACATGACGTGCGCCATGATGATTTGAAAAATTTATTGATTTGATCATTAGTTTGTACCTCTCCCATTGTTTGCTTTTTGTATTGTTAGATGTAAAATGCAGAAAAAACACATTAGGTATGGAAATTGCAGTTCATAGTATAAAGTGATCTAATCTCTCACAGCTTATGTGAAAAAAAAACATAATTGATATAAGAAACTTACAAATACTCATAACAGCTGCCATGTGTCCTTGCATCTGTACCAAAGTTATTTTAATTGATAGGTTGGTACCAATAGATGGCACCAACTCTTCCTAGACAACATTTAGAAAATCCCAAGATATTTGACAAATATTGTATAGTGCTTTACATTTGTCAACACGTGGACAAACTGTGAATATTATAGTTCTTGAGTAGGAATGTAGATTCATTTGTAATTGTACAACAATATAAAATTATTAAGATTTTCTATTGAGAGAGTGTACAAGAGTATGTGTGTGTGTATGAGGTGAGAGAGTGTGTGTGTGTGTGAGTGTGTGTGTGTGTGTGTGTGAGTGTGTGTGAGTGTGTGTGTTGTGTGTGTGTGTGTGTGTGTGTGTGTGTGTGTGTGTGTGTGTGTGTGTGTGTGTGTGTGTGTGTGTGTGTGAGAGTGTGTGTGTGTGTGTGTGTGAGTGTGTGTGTGTGTGTGTGTGTGTGTGTGTGTGTGTGTGTGTGTGTGTGGTGTGTGTGTGTGTTGTGTGTGTGTGTGTGTGTGTGTGTGTGTGTGTGTGTGTGTGTGTGTGTGTGTGTGTTGTGTTGTGTGTGTGTATGTGTGTGTGTGTGTATATGTGTGTGTGTGTGTGTGTGTGTGTGTGTGTTGTGTGTGTGAGAGAGAGAGAGAGAGAGAGAGAGAGAGAGAGAGAGAGAGAGAGAGAGAGAGAGAGAGAGAGAGAGAGAGAGAGTTGTGTGTGTGTGTGAGAGAGAGAGAGAGAGAGAGAGAGAGTGTGTGTGTGTGTGTGTGTGTGTGTGTGTGTGTGTGTGTGTGTGTGTGTGTGTGTGTGTCCTATCTATCAATCTATTTATCTATCTAATCTGTTTTCCTGTATATCTCTGTATCTATTTATTTATCTTACCACCTACCTACCTGTCTGTCTGTATGTCTGTTTATTTATCTACCAATCATATATTTACATTTTTTATATTGTTTTGATTATATTATTATTATTCATATTATTATATTTCAAAAATGATATATTGACATACTGTAAACTTTTCATCTCATTTTTGCTTTTTACCCAAGAGCTACGTTGTGAAGCACTTTGGCCACAGAGTTCATTATGACAAATGTAGAAAAACAGATAAGAATGAACATCTTCACAGTGGAAGAGATGTATTTATTGTAGTTCTATCATATCTTCATTAAAAATATACACATCAGAAAGATCACAAATGATATATCAAGCAGAAGAATCACTTAATGTCCATGACCTGTCCCTCGTTACCCCCATAATTAGTGCCGTGACCTTGGATGATTTGAAGAATATGAAGATTATGTCGGACAGCTTCAAATGATTTTAAAGTCAAGGCAGCAGCAATGCAGGTAACTGGTCATGGGGGTTAGGTGAATCTTCAGCTCATGTCTGATATATATATATGTTAGGTCATCTTGCTGAATACATGTATTTCTGATAAAGAAATCTTTGAAATGCGTCAAATACATCTCATGCACTGTGAAGATTTTCATTCTCTTTTATACTTGTTTTGCCATCTTGGTAATGAGAAAAAATGACTAGGTCAGAGTTTTAGATTTTCTTCTCCTCCTCCTCCTCGTCCTCTGTTTCTGAGAACAAGATTTACATGCCAGGGAATTTTCTTATGTTGCTCTAACGTCCACACAGGAAATACTGTATGTCATAGGTATCAAGTTGATATCTCTCTCTCTCTCTCTCTCTCTCTCTCTCTCTCTCTCTCTCTCTCTCTCTCTCTCTCTCTCTCTCTCTCTCTCTCTCTCTCTCTCTCTCTCTCCTCTCTCCACCCTCTCCACCCCCACCCCCCCCTCCCCCCTCTCCCTCTCTCCCCTCCCCCATGTAGTTATCCTGTGGCAAGATGTCACAAGTTTTAATTGGCAACAGGGTTTCCATTGTATATAGTTTTTGTCATCAAAGCCCTATTAATAACAGACACTTCATGTAGATTTATTAACTAAATGCACTTAGTAGAATCAGTTATGTGCATTAAAAGGAGTATTTGTATATTTTCTTATGTGATATACATATTTTTCTTACTATATACTGCTTTTTTCAGGTCAATATGTATACCAATATAGATGGATTGTTTGTCTTTTTCAGACGTAGTAAAATGTACTCAGGGAAAGTCACTGGACTGGCCTATGTGCCAACACTGTACGAAGCTTGCATCAGAGTCTTGCAAGAAAATATTGACGGTAAGTTTGTTACAGTAAAAGAAATTTAGGATTGATGGAAATCAGAAATTCTTATAATATTCTCTGATATTCTTTATCAATTTCAAATTACATATTTCCCTTTCTTACAGCTCTGGAGTTTACTGGTGGAATTCCCTTTGAGATTTTACAACCAGTTCTAGAGCGAGCATCTCCGCAACAACTTATAACTCTCGAAGATTATAATTCATACTTATTAGAGGATACAGATGTGTTATGGGAAACCCACTGTAAAAGAGATTTTAAAAACAAAGTAAGTATAGATAATGAATAGCTTTTTTTTCCAGTTTAAACATTCCTCTGACATAAATAATTATTTGATGTTCAGAGCAAAGACTTAAAGTTATTTGATAATGGATTATTCTTAAACACAAGGCCTTTAAATTGAATGTCTTGTACAATAGGTCCAATAACTTTTACTGTTAGCCTAATGAGTGTGGTCTTTTTTGGCGGTTGCGCGCTGTCCACGAAACAGTGTATATCTCTATGGTCCAGGTGCACGCTCCAGGATTATTCTCTTATTGCACTCGCCCCAGTGACTCTCTCCCTAACCACTCACCGAAATTTGCTAAACATGGTTGCATTGACATTAACTTTTACATGCACTCAATTTTATGTGTTTTTACATCTTCAGACACTCACTGTTACCAACTTCTTGACTTTATCAATGTGATAGTTCATTGAAATGATAGTCAATAGAGATTCACGGGTTTTGAGCAAGTATCTTCAAAAGTCCAACACATGTCCAACGAAGAGCAGACCACCATGGTATCTGTAGGGCTGCCACCTGGGGGTTAGGCCCAGCTTTGCCATGACATTATACTATATGCCAACTGTGCACAAAGAGTTAAGATGGAGTTAAGAGTTAGATTCAGTTCTGTGTCAGGGATAATTTTTAGTCCCTTAAAAATACATGTTGCTCAGATTTTTACACACTTCCACAGAAATTAGAAGAGATGGAAACCTGGAGAGAGATGTGGATTCGGTGCTTCGATGAACGAGAAAGGAAGCTGAAGAATTTGACTCAGAAGTTAGGGCAGAAGTTTGTTTCCAAAGCTGAACCAAAGCGTACAACCAAATTGGCTTTTGTGAACACTGCATGCAAAGTGCCAAAGAATGTTGCACGTGCTCAGGTAAGAGGTCCTTTGCTGCAGGTTCCTTGGCATTAGATTTGAAATAGAATTTGAAAAATTTGTAATAGTGCAACATATGTTTACAAAAAATTTCTATAGTATCCACTCTGCATTCTGGTTATTTAATTTTTATTTTCTCCCTTTCTTTTCTTTTCTCGTTAACCTATAAAGTAAAGTCAGACTGATGTTCAGAGTAATCTTCCAAAACTTTAGATACTTTCATCTCATTCACTCATTTTAGCTCATTTTTAAAAACATTTGGCTTTGTGTGTTAGGCAAAGTATGGGACAGCAGTTGCATCAAGTTCTGCAGCAAAACCAGGGAAAGCCAATGAGGTGGCAGCCAGGAAAACGGCAATGCAGAATGTACAAAGAGCAGAAAGAGCAGCAGCAAATCCTCCTCGTCCCACAGCAGGTACAACAATCTTTGTAGATACTGGGATTGAAGAAGTGTTCACATGGGGAGATGTTTCAATTTTTGTCCTTTTTGCACACACACAAAAGTGTTTTTGTTAGATATTCTTAAAGCCATTTATTATGTTCGCAAATTAAACATTTTATAATAAATTATCTAAATGAGGAGATTCTGACTTGTATATATCAAGAATTCATAATATATGAACTAAGATATATATATGTATATCTATTGCAGCCAAGAACAAAAAGGTAGCACCTCTTATGGCCAAGACGCGACAGTTCTTTAAGAAAGCGTTCCGGCGTTGAGCTCCTCCTGAAAGCATTCCAGGAAGGGCACAGGTTTCCCAGTTTCAAGCAAACGAAACAGATGAAAGTGGTACTCAGCCAAAGGTTCATATTTCTATCCATTTTAGTTTGGAGATACCAGTGTAGAGTAATGTTTTCAATGTTGCAGTGTCATGTGTTACATTTGGTATTTTAAAACCTTTCAAGATTGACATATCCATCTATACCATTTAGAGAGAAGGGTAATATACATGTGTATGTTTTTCCCTTGCCTTTTTTCCCTTTTTTTTATTATTATTTTTTTTTTTTCCTTTTTTCAACTTTTCCAAATTACGAAGAGCACATAAACTATTCATCTTACCATATGAAAGTAAAGTAGTAAACTAAAAATAAAACATGTATGCATCTGCTTACCATCAGTTACATGTACTCAATGAATCAAGTGGTCAAACCAACACACACCCAACCATCCATCTCTTCACCCACCTACTAGTATACACTCACATAACCACCTATCCATCCATCCATTTTCACATAAAAAATGCTAAAGACAAAGATAGAAATGCAACCATAACCACAGAATACCACCCACTCACAGAAATACCTGCACACACCCACACAACAAATAAAAACCACCCACACAGAAAGACATACGTGAAACACTCACACACTCACTTCCGCTTATCCACAGAAACACTGTTCCACCCACGCCCCAACACTCACACACATGGAGACCCTCACACTCCCACTTAAGCTTATTCACAGAAACGCTTATCCACACACCCCAATACAAAAACAAACACACACACACTCACATTCACACTCACACTCACTCACGCACTTCCTCCTTCCTCCCTTTCCCTTCTTCTCTATCTTCATACCTTCCTTCCTTCCCTCTCAGAGTAAGTAAGGATATCAGATTTTGAAAGGTTCAGCTCATATAAAGAAGAGGATTTTTTTCTTTGTATAGAAAATAGACATCAGTGGATAATGCATAACTGATATCCATTATGCATTGGGAAGTGTGAATGACTAGTTGTCACTAAATGAATTTAAGACACATGCCAGATAACATAATGTTTTCTTCGCCTTCTTTTTCTTCTTCTGCCTCTTTTTGTCCTCCTGCTTCTTCCTCTTCTTTTCTTCTACTCCTTTGTTTGTCTTTGTCCTTGTTTATTCTTTCTTGCCTGTCTCCCCAGATTTGGATGCTATGTAGTATCAAGGAATGTGTGTGCTTAAGAGTTCTATGAATTGAGACTTGAGGTGGCTTGGAAGATGAAAATATTTCTCTGTGAATAATTGCAGTAATATAACTAATGTTCATAATTGTCATGCATAAGATTCTATCTGATTTTGATTAGACCAATGTTGAGCATATTGCAGTGCTAGATTTAGTTTAGTTTCAAAATCTGTCATTTTGATTCTTAGCATCTGATTAATTAGTTATATAATTTATGTGTAATTCACCCATTTTATTGACATTGCCAATATAATTTAAAAAGAAGAAAATTAACCTTAAATGTTTTTGTTGATAGGGAGCAATGACTTTATAAGACTTATTTTCTATTAGGTTACATAAGGAAAGCATACATGTATATTTTCCACCTATTCTTCGTACAGTATGCAGCAGATGATGATACCAGATTTACATCTTTGATAAGCATGTTACATAAGCAGATACTACAGAATCTGAATTAATTTATTGGTTTTATAAATTCCTGACCGACTGGTATATCATCCATCTAAAGGAGTGCATGATACCTCTTGGCTTAAGATTATCAGTAAATGTATTATCTTGGTTTATTTATTGTAAAAAGCATTTTTACTAGTAAAATGAGAAAAGATCTTATTTGGTATTGACACAAAATACGGAAAATACTTATTTTTTACAAGTGTATAATATCTATTGATAATCTTTTCCCCACTGTGTGGGGTGAAACTGTGTCTAATAAATTACTGTTTTATTATGTGGATTTAGTATGACATATGTTTTATAGAAGATATGAAGCAAGAGATTATATAGTTTATAAGCCACACTGTGATTGTTGAATTTTAATCCTTTAGCATAATTTACCACCAGAAGTATGGGTAATTTGAAGTCATAATTGGTTTCAGGTATACTTTTCATCATAATATTTGCGTATTATTGGTTTACTGAAGTCTCTACAATTAAGAACAACAGGCCTACCTAATTAGTTGTATGACATCAAAGAACACAGTTTTCATTGTAAACCTTCACTTGTTAGTTAAACCAGGGCAATAATTCTTTTGTTTTTTTGTTTTTTTAGTACTGCTTTTTGATCTCCTGATTGTATTCACTGGATACCTAAGACAGATTTTTCAATACAAGAATTATTGTGACATTTTGTGTGAATGAAAAATGTTTGTAGAGTGTTTGGATTAAATAAAAATACACTATTAAACATTATTCATACTGCTGGACTTTGGATATACCCCTTGATAATAGAGAGCACAAGACTGTGTGGTGAGTTAGTTAATGTATGAATGAGCTGAGTTGAGCTAGTATGCATACCTTCTGTTGGATGGAATACACGAAATCCATACTCCAAAGCTTCTTCTTTGCGTATTAGAGCTGCATTGAAGAGAAGCTTTGAATATAAGATTTATCAGGACAAAGTGAGGCCTGAGCCTACTTGGGAAATTTTTTTGAAAAGTCTTGAGAGTAGAATGTAAAGAATAGCTTAAGATTGCTGTGAAAATCTGTGATAATCTGGGACTATTAGCAGAAAATTTGATAATGTTTTCCAGATGAAAAATGGGAAACGTATGTGTCTTTGTCACCAAGATGAGTTGTGGAGGAATTCAGTTACTCTATGTGATGTTCACCGGAACCCCCTATATATAGTGAGCTTAGAAATACCTACAAAAATAATGGAATAAAGAAGACTGCTTGCATTTCATAGTTATGTTTTAAAAACAATGTGTCTAATGTTTCAGTTTTATTCCAGTTTACTGTGAAGCTGAAAGATTTGTCTATGCACATGTGTTTATTTATATATACATATATACGTTTTTCTATACTATACCTAATGGGAAAAAATACAGAATTAGTTGCCCTGTGGAGATGACCTTTTCAGACGGAGTTTTAGGAAGTATGTGTTGTGTGCGTGGCCTCAGGTTAAAAGGTTAAATAGCTTACTGTAAAATTTATAGTAAAATAAAGCACGGATGGGTGTACATTGGTGTGCACTGCTCTGCACCTGGGTTTGAGAGAATCTGGTGATCAGGACAGACGTAATGGTATCACTCGGTATTGTCATTTTTGACACAACTTGGGACACAACTTGGTAGCACATCACCTGTTGTTTATAGGTTAGGTGTGGAAGCCTTTGACTTCTTGATAATTTTGACCTTATAGTTTTAAAACTGTAACAAAATTTAAAGACATAATATTCCACCTACAAAACAAGAACAAAGGAAATTTAGAAACAACTTTGAATTCAATGAATATAAGCTTTACTTGGAAGTTATGAAATGACACCAGTTGTGTGTAATCATCTCTGCATAAAAGACGAAACTATCTAGTGTGTCTAATTCAGCATTCATAACTAATTATGCAAAGTATGCAAATTTAATATTTAGGGGAGATTTACACTCATATGTCTTATTTCTAAAAGGACTAATCCCTCAGGAACAGGTTTCATGATTATCATGTGCTTATATGCACATGATGATCTTGAAATCTGTTCCTGAGGGATAATCTCCATAGTGTTATGGTACGGGTTTAATCCATACCTTTCCAGGTTACCTGCTCTGTTCTCTAAGTGTATATGTCCCAGTTAGTCCTAGTGTGTATAGGGCTCTTTAGAATAGAAGCTAAGTGGTGTTGAACAAGATCAAAATTTTAGGAGACTACATATGTTGGAGAAGTCTTAAAGAATGAGGAAGGTCTAACTTAGGTAAGTATTTCTTGGACAGAACCAGTACTGCAGACAGGTTTGTCCATCCTTACATTCTACTGTTCAGTAACTTCTTTCATAAGAATGGAACTGTTTCTTGTTGCAATATATTTTTTTGTATGAATTCAGCTGTATACTTAAATCTATATACCATATCAACTTCTAAGCTTATTACCAAAGGAGCATATTCTCGACACAGTTTTACTATAAGATTTGCAAGATCCTTTTTTATGTTACAATTAACTGTGTTAATGTTTTCATCCTGTTCTCGCAAGATATCTATAAAGTGAACTGTATGGACTTCTCTTACAGCTAAAACTGCTTAGAGGTCAATTTTATTACCTATATATAGTTGTTTCCAGTGACATTGCAATACTAGTTAATATTTTTTAGTGTTTGGTAAAATGCTTTTTGGTTCCTCTTTTAATAGGAGGTAGACATAGTGTCTTTTGCAGGCTTATACAGAACACTTCTCATTATTTTTACTCTATTATCTTATCAGTCCAAGAGCAAATGAAAGATAATTTTATCATTATGTGCAGCAGATTGAGAACAATGATAAATGGACATTTAGATATTTCATAATATAGAATCAACCACACCTATAAATATTAAACAGCAGAACATATTCATTTTCATTTTCACAATAATTGTAGTCTCTGATAGACGAGACAAACAAAACTGCAGGGAATGAGATTGACTTAAAAACAATTGCCAAGCCACAGTTAAGGACATTAGTGATACATTCGTATTCACTCACAAAACTAAAATTGTCTGTTCAATTGTGCTTTGATTTAGTCAATTATATCTAAATATCACATTGTTTTTCTTCATTTCCTTGGAGATTCATACACAAGTGATACATCTTTTCCTTTCAAATACAAGTTCCCATATATATATAGAATTTGGAGTATGCAAAGGATTAATAAAACTAATGATGGCCTTCTTAATTTATTATGCAATATTGTATGTGCTATACTTGGGATATATATTTAACTTGTGACATTTGTCTATTTACATAAATGCGAAATATTTCCTGGAATTTTCTTTTTTTATTTTCTTTTAAGAAAAAAAAGAAAAAAACTGCTACAGCCATTCTGTCTTTTTTTCCATATGGATTTTTCTTGTTTTTTTTTGTTTTTTTTTGCTGTAACAAATACATTTTTCCATATAGAAATTGGTCCATTATAAGTAAAATGACAATAATATTACATGCCAAAACAACATAGTGATGATATGTAATGTAACGTGGCCTCCTCAACCATCATGCATATTTTACTTCAGTTAAGATTGATGTTCGATTTGATTGTACTGTATTGTATGCCTTGATCACACTGTGCAGATGATTGATTATATGCATTCTTGTGCATCTTGCTTTGACTCCTTGGTCATTTGGCTTTCAGGAAAGACATCTCCATGTGGTGAAAATAAAATCTTGAGAAGGTATGGTGACTCATCAAGAAGTTGTTGACATAACTGGTGTCACTGACATAAAGTTCCTTAATGCTCTTGTTAAAAGACAACCTCACCTGTCAAATCTACTAGTGATTGTGGTGTTCTTGGAAGTACATGGTCAATAAGACCTGTGTGTAATAAACTGTTTAAAATATGGAGTTGTGAATTGAAAACAAAGTTCATTAAGAGTGCTTACTTACGTGGTAACCAAGGAAAGTGATGTATCATTGCTTTCATGCATGCAGCTTTATATATATACCTGCTTATATATATAATTGCTGTTATAACTAGAACAACAGTTAAAGTTGGCATTCAATGTTTTTGTTGGCCTTAATAGTAAAGGTTATAATACTGCCAAGAATATACTGTTGATCCTATAATCCTGATCATTAGATGCTGGAAGACTTTAGGATCCCAAGATCATGGTAGTCGTTGTATTGCTGTGAAGAAAATAACATAAAAAGCTAAGCAAAAGTTGGCAAACTTTTATCAAGTATGTTGAGTATACTATTTACAATCAATTGTAAAATATAAATTATTGGTGTTCAGCCAATGCATTTCATGACACTGGAACCTAATTGTATTCATGAATTTTACCAAGATCTTGGGAGTCTTCAATGTCCACCTAAGGGAAGGCCCAGGGACTTCAGGTCTACATTTAAGGATCAACTCGTGTGAGTGTGTGTTTAGTCTTTACAAGTCATTGACATACCTTACATCCAGTTACTGACATTCTATTCAAATGATTTTATTGTCGATTCATTTGTTCTTTTGCTTGGGTCTGCCTCTGATTTTAAATCTAAATATTCAATACATCATTGACAATGGGTATGAGCCTTTGCTAGAATAACACTAGGTACCACATCAACATTTACAATGGTTGGGTGCACGCCTAACACAAAGCTTTTATCTAACTTATAATTGGCAGCATTCACAAGTTACGAAAAGAAACTTTTAACAAGTTGATAGGGTTTCATATTCAACCACAAAAGTTAGTACACTAACTTGGAAAAGTTCATCATGAGTGAGAAACTGAAGTGACCCATTTTTCTGAATGAAAGATATCCTGCTAATTATATACATAAGGTCTGTGGGAGTAAAAACTGTTTTCCCACACACAGAAAACACTGCATATGTGTGGGTACCAAAGAATTACCATGAACATAAGAATTTTATGTTTCAGTTAATAATTTTTTTTTTTTTTTCTGTCTCATATTTTAGAGCGGGAAGGGGATTTTAGTTTAATGAAGTATTTCTGGGTCATCAGTTCACTCTTTGCGAGATACTATAAAATAAACTTGTCTAAAACCTGCCACCTAAGACTTGCAGCTTCTGAGAGTATGTGAATGTAATTAACAATACTGAAGTTTTTTCACTAACTCGAAATTTATCACATGAATATGGAGATCAAATAAATACTCTACTTGCATATCCCCAGTGGTTTCCATATGACACTGCAGACAAGTTGAATTCAAATTGCAATTTCAAACTGTATCATTCATCTTACTAGTCTTTGTACTGGAAATTCAAAACCTGTTAGTTTTAAAAAACAAGAACATTAGTGTCATAAAAGTACTTCTCACTGCCTTCAATTTCTAAAAAAAAAAAAATCAACATTCAAGGCAGTTCATAGATATTAAAATCACAAAAATTTTGCAACAACCATTTTTATATTGAAGCATCACATATATTCAAATCATATGTGGAACAATTTCTTTTTCAGCTAAGAAAATGAAGGTAGTGCTATAATACATGTGTACATTAACAAGTACATCCACATACTCAAGATAAAGACTAGTAGTCTCAAAATCTAAAAGAATAATTGGATTCTCACATCAAATTGATTTTCTTTTCAACAAATTTAAACAAAGACTGAAATCTGAATAACTGCTTCCCTTAAAAGAAAGTGAATAATCCTACATACAATCTACTGGATCCCAATGTCTGTGATACCACTCCAACTACTCTTTATATTTACCCAATATGGGCAATGGAGTAAAATGTCTACATCTGAGGAATAAATACACCAATCATTCCATATTCCATGAATGATTAGTGCCATCTATCCATAGAAGAGTCCATAAAATCACATACAATAGAGCTTTCACATTCTTGATTCACCTGTTATATTGGCAGAAGCAATAAGATTTAACGTGGTAATACTATATCTCGAATCAATGACATTTTCAAAAGTGATCCATGAATGTTCTAAAGGGGATTGCTTAATACAGAGTAATAATAGTAACAAGTGAAATTCAATGTTGATCATTGTACTCCCATGACCATTACAATTATTTTTAGCATGAGATATATCAGGCTTATCATACAGTAAGGTATATTGCAGCATGCAAGGAGTCATGGCCAGAATCTCAAAAGTATAAATCTTTTCCACAAGACCCTGAGGTGTGTGATTTAGACAAAAAATCCTAAAATATGAGGTTAATTATTGGGTAAACCAATTATACCTGTTAATCAACCACATCATTTTGTTGATAATGTGCCTCTGACTCATTCCATTGTCTATATCTAATATTCTATTGGATCTTTGCTAAGGCATTGTCAAAATGTATGTATCTGTAATGTCAATCTTCAATTAACATTTATACACAGCTCAAAAAGAACAATGCCTTTATTATCACTTTATATCCTACTGTTGGCTAGACATTTTGATGTCTAAATATAGTCATATATATATATATTCACTTAAAACTATCATCTCACTAATATATCTCATTCCTTGAGGATATTTACTGGGTATAGAAAGGGATTTCCAGCAAAGTAGCTGTCATATATAGTTACTTGACTATCCTTACCTTATCCCATTAATGTCCTTCAATATTAACAATATTAAACAACCATTAGGATCATCTGAAATTCTTGAAAAATAGCACCCATATTTGCTTTGTCTCTATGATTTTTGGCCGTTAACATTCTTGTTTCAACACCAGTGATAGACTGCCTTTGGGGTGAAAAAAGCAAAAATAATGTATTGTCCTCTGAAGTATGAGGTTTTTACATGCTAATTTTTCAACTCTCAGAGCATGATCAGTATTTCAATAATCTTTTGACTTCTGAACAGGGTTTTTCTCTCTCATAATTACTATTAAAATGAATTTGATCATCAATTACACATATCATTATAGCTTTCTTAATAGTACTATGTGAATTTACCTCTTTGAACCAATTTCATTTCTATAGTGTTTATCTCATATCTCTAAGACTTAAGAATGCAAAGAATGTTTAGCTCCACACATTCACACAAATTTCTCTGAAAATATACAGAACATTTTCAACAAACTTGTCTGAATTCTTATCAAAAAAAGAGTTTTGTGACAAATCCTCGTCATGTGTGAGTCTACATTTTGGTTGTGGTAGTGGTGTCTTTCTGGTTAACTTCAACCTCAACGTGGATTTCATTGCCAGCCATCAACTTCCCATTGTCCTGGAATGAAGAGAGAAACCGCCTTTTAAAGTTCTCTGTTCCTCCTTGTATTATAGCTATACACAAGAATGGTCCTTATACCTATACAAAAAAAAAAATCCATTATACTTGTACCAAAAAATGTCCTCACAGAAAACACTTTTTCATAGAGATGTGAGATTAAACCCAATGCAGTCCAGGTCATATCCAATTACAATCCAATTTATGATATATATATGTAAAAAAAAAATAATAATAATCATAAGGAAAAATATGATCAAATTTCTTTCTAATGAAATAGAAAAAACAGATTTGTAGAAATCACTCTTTCACAGTGTTAATCAATATAATACAAACTTACGTAAAGGTGATTCACATTACACCTTACCCTTCGGCTTTACCAGTTTTCTGGAGCAAGAACATCACACTAACTTATTGTACATAATTTACAATATATTAATTAATAAAAGCATTAGCTGTGAATACTTTAGTAATGAATAGGGAACATTAGTCAGAATCTTTATTCCATTAACAACAGTAAGCATTGACGATAATCTAAATGAGAGAATTAATGAAAAATATGACACTCATGCAGGGTTATTTGCCTACAGTTTATACTGTTAGGTGATTCACTGATTACTCTTACATGCCCTGGATACATTTTACGTTTTCCACTCATGCGTACAATTACTACACCTCTCCTCTTATGGTCTAAAAACAAAATAAAAAGGCTGTTTGATTTCATTTGAGTTTCATGGTAAAACACAAAATGCCACATAGGTATGATTCATTGTCTCTAAGTGAAAGAGAAAAAATCTACTTCCAAATTGCAGCTGAGCCATGTAAAATGGACATCAATTTAGTACAGAAAGTATTACACCTTTCTAAGAGTATGAGAGTGTGAAAGTTATGAGTATGAAGTAAGATTAGTATGAGTAAGAGCACGAGTGACTTGACTGAATGAGAGAGAGAGAAGAAGAGAGAGAGAGAGAGAGAGAGAGAGAGAGAGGAGAGAGAGGAGAGAGAGAGAGAGAGAGAGAGAGAGAGATGACACGATGGAGCGCGAGAGAGAGAAGAGAGAGAGAGAGCAGATCAGGAGCGAGTGATAGAGAGAACGGTAGAGAGCGAGAGAGTGAGTGATGTGATGAGTGTATGTGAGTGAGTGAGTGAGAGAGACGAAATGGAAGAGAGAGAGAGTGAGTGAGAGTGGTTGACGTGAGTGATGGAGTGAGTGAGTGAGTGAGTGAGTGAGTGAGTGAGTGAGTGACGTGAGTGAGTAAGTGTTGTGTATGTGAGAATGCGTGTTGTGAGTATGTGTGAGGTGTTGTGTGTGTATATATCTGATGTGCAGTATGTGTTGTATGAGAGGTGTAGTGTGTGTGTGTTGTGTGTGGTGTGTGATGAGTGAGGGAGATGGTGTGTGAGTGAGTTGATGAGTGTGTGGAGAGATCGAGAGAAGATTGACGAGTGTAGTGAGGTGGTGAAGAGTGAGTATGAGTGGCGGGGGTGATGAGGGGGTGGGAAGTGGAAGCGGGATGGGCTGTGTGTGTGATGTAGTGTGTGGTGATGTGGGTGTAGTGTTGCTGTTGTGTGTGTGGTGTGTGTGTGGTGTGTGGTGTGTGGGTGTGGTGTTGTGTGTGTGTGTGGACAAGGGTGTGTTGTATGTGTGTGTGTTGGTAGCGTGGTGCGTTGAGTCGAGTGAGAGAGAGGAGAGGAGAGAGTGTAGGTGACGAGTTAGGAGAGAGAGAGAGAGGAGATAGCAGAATAGAGAGTGAGAGCGACAAGAGTGTGAGTAGACAGAACGAGACATGTCAGTTGTTGACGTGTGTTGACGTGAGTGAGACGAGTGAGAGTGAGTGAGGAGATGTGAGTGACGTTGAGGAGTGACGTGTGCGTTGACTGTGATGGTGAGCAGAAGTGAGTAAGTGAGTGTGTGTGTGGCAAGTTAAGTGATGAGCTGTGTGTGTGTGTGTGAGATGTGTGTGTGTGTGTGTAGTGTGTGTGTGAGTGCTGTGTGTGTGTGTGTGTGAGAGAGAGAACGGAGGGAGAGACGAGGAAAGAGAGAGGAGAAAGAGAGAGAGAGAGAGAGAGAGAGAGAGAGAGAGAGGGAGAGCTGAGAGAGAGAGGAAGTAGAAGAGAGAGGACGAAAGAGAGAGAGAGAAAAGAGAGAGAGAGCAAAGAGACGAGAGAGTCACAGAAGAGGAAGAGAGGAGGGAGCCGAGAGAGAAAGAGAAGAGAAGAGAGGAGAGAGAGAGAGAGAGAGAGAGGAGAGAGAGATAGAGAGAGAGAGCAAGACGAGAGAGAGAGGAGAGAGACGAGGAAGAGAGACTGAAGTAGAGACCGAGACGGAGAGACTGAGACAGAGACAGACACTGAGACAGAGACAGACAGACAGAGACAGACTGAGACAGACAGACACACTGAGACAGAGAGAGAGAGACAGACAGACACAGACAGAGAGAGAGAGAGAGAGAGAGAGAGAGAGAGAGAGAGAGAGAGAGAGACGAGAAGAGAGGAGAGAGAGAGAGAGAGAGAGAGAGAGAGAGACAGACAGATAGACAGACAGAGAGAGTGAGACTGAGAGAGACAGCCCAACAAGTAGAAAAAAGAAGGAGCCGGAGGAATTTAGTCCCAGACACTGCTTCCTGCGCGGTTGTGTTAGTATCTCACCGAGCCCCTAAGCAGCACTGGCAGGTCATGCGGCACTGGATCAGGGTCGGTGTCATGCAGGCGGGTTACCAGAGGCGTGAGGTCGGCAGCCTTTTCCACGTCATTGGGATTCGTCTCCGTGCTGTTCTCGGCGTCCATGGCCTGCAGCTCCTTCTGGCTCCAGTGCTCGACGATGGCGGCTGTATAGCAGTCGCCGAGCATGTTGTTCGTGGTTCGGAACCGGTCGCTGAGGGAGGGAGGGAGAGAAGGCGTTTGTGGTCAGACTGGGATTCTGTATCAGGCGTTGCTTCTATGATAGTGTCAAGCTGTTCGATAAGGAATTGGGTATGTTCACAGATATTTCATTCTAAGGTGATATGAAGTGTTCTGTTCCTTACACAAGCCAGTCGATGGTGAAGAGAAGAGATACGTCCGTGGCTGGCAGATTGACGGCTGTGAGAACGATGACTATGAGAACAAGTGCAGCACTTGGCACACTGGCACTAGCAACGCTGGCAGCGGTTGCTGTAACGCTGGAAGGAAGAAAAATCAAGTTTTCAGTTCTGTCTGAAAAGATCATTATCGTCTCTCTATATCATTATTCCATAGAGGTATTCAACTAGTCATGGTAAGAATGCTAGGTTTCATTAACACTTACACAATAGTTGCGTACTCCCCAACACCGAGCGAGATTTCATTCATCTGAGCTATGAAGACGGTGCCGACGGACACGAACAAGGCTGTTCCGTCCATGTTGACTGTGGCACCGATGGGAAGCACGAAGCGGGAGATTCGGGGATCCACGCCGCATTTGTCGTTCATGCATCGGAAGGTGATAGGCAGCGTAGCCGCCCTGCGAAAGGAAATGTTGTTAGTATGTGCCTTGGAAAGTTGGCAGTGTGAGGCAGCTCGGGTACAGGCGCGCTGGGCACAGGTGCCTCCCGCTGCTGCTCAGTGTGAAAAAGGGCGAGCCCAGACCCGAAAACGCAACCCTATGATATGCCCTGCATGGTGGGCAACGCTAGTACAGGGGTTAGCCAACATAATAACATTTACTCACCCACACAGGCCGGGGACCGGCACTACCTCTGAAACAAACAAACAGACTAGGTTGTTGTGCATGTCTGACAGTGACTGAGAGTGAGGTGGTTATAGCGTTATGGGAGCTGGGGTGACTGGTGGGTGAGGAGGGCCTGAAAGACTTCAGCACAAGAGGGAGCCACTTACCCAGCCTGCGGACACTCACTGCTCTACTCCTCAGCCAGGGGTCGACTCGCTCCTGCAAATGTGGCTAGAGTGCTAGGTTAGCTTTGCACTCTGCAAGGTAAGGATAAAAAACGTTAACATCACATGTCAAACCTGAATGGCATATCTGACAGCAGACCTAGCTATAAACTGGTAAGGGAATAAATTTACCGGAGGACGCGATCTAATTGATTGGTTTTGCCAAGAAAATATGATTATTTATATCATTTTTAAAACAATATTTGATTCAAAGCAGTTTATATTTACTTTTGTTATTATTGAAATGCAACAAGACAAGTTATAAATCAAAGTCCCTTATACCAGCATTTCCCATATTGCAGCCAATTATTTTATTACACAGGCGTAGCCAGGGGGGTTCTTGGTAATGTGTCCCAGTGTTTTGAGGCGTGTTAACTGGGGTGTCTGTCCGCTAAATCTTTTAATTCTTGTCTGTATAAGCTAGATAGATGATCGCGAGATATTCGGGTAAAGCGGCCATATAAGTTACTGGCAACCCAGGCGCTTTGGATATTTTTTTTTTTTCTTCTTTAATGAACCCTCCAATATCAGGACTGGTTATGCCCGTGTTTCAGAGTAAAATTTTGTATTCATCTCGACAATTTTGAAAATGTTTTTTAGTGAGAAACAGGTAGCATGCATCCAAATGAAATTGAATTTTAACAATGCCAATAAATCCCATCCGGTAAATTTAGTGGGGTTTAATTTACAGTGATGAGGACTAGGGCCGACTGAGAGGTGGTGGCGACACCATGCAGCTGGTTACCCCAGGGATAGAGACCTGTCTCCATGTGCATCCCCTTCTTAGTCACGCTAGGCTAAGCTCTGTCTAAAATGCCCCTCTACTGAGTGATGGGTGTCAGATGGGAAGCCTCTACGCACCAAACCGGGACCGAGTCCACTCAACGAGGATGAGCCTTAGCACATATGGTTGGACGGCTGGGAATTTTACGACCGAAGGACACGGCGGAAAAAGCTGACGAAACAGAGGTAGAAACTGTCTAATGCCCGACTTTTTTATGTTGAAGATAGTGTTGCTCTTAAGAAAAAAATATGAATTCGGTATAAAAATGAAACAAACTCAAAGTTTTCGTGCCGTTTGTACGGTTAGGTTAACAAAGAATAAATGTCTAGCATCGATAGCTAATAGTGTTGTTGGGAAGTACGAGCAACATCCCAATAACTCGAAATAACTTACAAATGATTGACTGAATGAAAGGAAAAGCCATCCTCGCATTATGTCCTAAGTCATGCTCGCGGGTTTCGTGTATAGAGGAGAGCGGTGGTGAGGATGAGTGCAGAGAGCGCAGTCGAGACGGGGCTCTGTCGGCTCCTCCTCAGTCTCCCCCCCCGCCCGCTGAAAGAAAACGATGATGCGGCCGTTACTGGAGAGGCGGCGAGCAGGTGTGTTCTCCTAGCAACCCACAGCCACGTCCTGACCATCAAGTCTAGGAGATCAACAGTAATGCTCCATCCTTCCTGATGGAAGATGAACCCAGTGGTAGACTCAATTGCACATTATTGGGGATTCAGTGATATCAACAATCTATAATCAACCATCAGATTTATCTACACTTAACTACATCAATTATCTTCAAGCCTGATAGCTAATTTTATCTTTCATATTTACATATACAAAATCTGAAATACAATGAGGGGGGTCCCCAAATCTAGTAGTTTATTAAATCTAATAACAATAGATAATACAGAAAATGCAACAGCCCAAGTGAAGATGTGGGGCAAGAATACAGTACAGGAGGCAGGCAGGAGCGCGGGGCAGGGGCGGCAGCGGCTACAGCAGACGCCAACATGAACACGTCGCCTACTTGACTTACTCTCCTCATTTTTATAGTGTAAATGGAAAAATACACATGGTATGAATCATTTGTTTATCTTGTGTCTGAATCATGGTTAAAGTTTAGTCACATGCAATTTAGAGGTTCCTGGAGCAGAAAGCTTTTACAGGGTTGCTGTGTTGGAGACCTTTGCAACGGTGGGGCTGCTTCACCGCCGCCGCCAGCATGCGGCAGCGGAATAATTGTATATCAACTTTTAGAAGAAAGGCCTAGAGTAAGAAACGGGACTGCCTGTCTAAGACCATTCAGGGAAGCAGACGCTGTGGCGGTCGATGGCGTCTGGGTGGCGCGGCGGTTCGGAGCGACGCCGGTACGCCCCGTGTAACGGTCGACCATCGCCTCCCGGCCGCCGTCTTGCTGAGAGAACTCCCGCGAAAGAGCAATGTGCAAAATAACACCACGTGTCGAGCTAACCTCTTAGTATTAGGCCAGGTGTGATTCTGGTTCTTGGCTGGGAGTGAACTTAGGACTAGACCTGGCCTGATGCTTGGTTCTTGGCTGGGGAGTGAAGCTTCCTTTTTACATAAGGCTAGTTGGAAATATTGGTCGGGGATCTTAAACTATATATAACAGAAATTTGTGGTGTGTTTAAGTCTTTGAGAAACATGCAAGCTTATACTTTTTCTATGCATCATACAATGCATCATTATCTTAATGCAAATGCTTAAACACCAATCACAGCGACGATATATAAAAAATGATCGCATTTTGAACACGATACAATCAGAAATATAAAAAGAAAAGCAAAATCTATGCTACACACGAATTTTTGTTCCTATAGACAAAAAACAAAACAAAACATGAACAAGAAAACAAACGCATCTATACGCCAATACCGTTCATTTGACACCAAATCACTTCTTAAAGAGGCTCTTAATTTAACAAAAAGAATATCGTAAGGAAAAGACTATATAAACTCCCCGCTCTTAGCCAGCCAATTGCTATAACCGACGTCGATGTCCAGTCATTCACCGAAGCATATATGGAGAGTGCAAAGATAGCATCGCATTCATATCTACACATAAGCCTTTCAGAGACAAGTCTGTCCACAATGAGCTTGAGAACACATGCATACCCTGGACAGTGAGAACCTCTCGAGTTTTCTGTATACTCTAGATGAACTACACTATCAGCTGATACCAACTCCCTTATGTCAAAATATCCTTGTTATGACAATGGTTTGAAACCCTTTTCTAGCTATTTTGATTAAATTTAATACAGTCCAGCATGTGTATGGCAATTTTCATTCGTTGATAGCAATACTCGTTTATTTGGATTTCCTTTATCGATATTATGCCGGGAGTTGGGAACAGTTTTCAAGGTAATAACTTCGGGGTTGTGGCAATAGCTCACGTGGCCGAGGATGGAGACAAAACAACTGTTAGATATGAACATTGTGTGCGTTTTCTCTCTCTCTCTCTCTCTCTCTCTCCCTCTCCCTCCCTCTCTCCCATCATCCCCTTTCTTTTCCTTTATCCTCCTCTCAATCTCCCGTGCACCCTCTTCTCTCTGCCTCTCTTCCCCTTCTTCTTACTCTCCCGTTCACTCTGCTCTCTCTTTACCTTTCATCCTTCCCTATATCTCCCTTCCACCCTCTTTTCCCTTTCCCTTCCCCTTATTCTCTCTCTCCCATACATGTTCCTCCTCTCTCTCCTTTCCACCCTCTTCTATCCATCCCTTCCTGCCTCTCCTATCTTCTTTCTCTCTCTTTTTATTACCTCCATCGTCTCCCTTTAGAACCATGGCCACACCCTCGCTTGACAAGACAGATATAAGTCACAAGTGCAGATAATCCAACTGATGCAGAACTAAGAAATAGTAATGATAAATAGATAAAGATAAAATAATAAAATGAAGACTAGACAGGGAAGTAAAATGCAATAGTAACGGTACTAAATTATTTTAAAACGACTTTATGAACTATTGCGACTGCAGCTGTTGGCATCACGTTTAGTAAGACGTTTAGCTCTCAATTGACTAGCTGTATGTATTTCTGTCTATATGTGTATATTTAAGTGCTTACAGCCACTTGTTTTACAAAATAAAAAATCTATGCTTAGCAGTGACGACGAACGTATAACAACAATTTTGAAGTATGCATCATGATTTATTTAATTTAAATTTAAACTACCACATGTTATGACTTGGATCAACCGAAACGTAACCCCGGACCGCGTGACAGGATAACGTAAGGGCGACAAGAATACAATAATAGTCATTATCATGCACCTAATGGGCGGCCAGAAATCGAAAGTCGAATTTTGGAATGGGATTATGTTTTGGAAACATACACACACAGTGTAACCTCGATCGACTGAAACATAACCCAAGACGACTTTTCAAATTAAATCCGGGTCACGTAACACAGAGCAGGGACGCCGAGACGCATTTTGGAAAGGGAATTATGTTTTGTTGTCGTGCTTCACAGGAAGTTAAGATAAAAACGTAGATTAGGGGAAAATAACGTTACTTTTGTGGATATTAGTTTTAAGATGGTAAAGTGCCGGGTTTTATATCCATTATGCTTTTGTTACCATAAATCTAATAAAAAAAAAGAAGTGTAGATTTCTATCACTATCATCCCCAAGATAAATACAGGCTTTGGGAAATGTCCAGATTACCATAACTGTGCCACAGAACTGCCAATATATAAGATAAAGAGAAGATAATAAAAAAATATATGTATCGAATCGTCAGTAAATATATTCTTCCGAAGTTAGATGTTAGTCACATAAATGCGCAAAATACACCAACACTCGCAGAGAAAAAAGCCCCTTCCAAACGAAACCAGTTATTGTATATGCATGAAAATAATACTTAATAAAAAAAAAGAGGAAAAAAAATGCCATATACCCTATGTTAGGTTATAACCATGCGACATGCCAAAGCACATCTGAAGTGGAAGTGTATGTGAATGCATCTCTCTTCTTTCATCTCTTTATTTATTCCCTCGTTTATTTATTAATTTCTTACCCATGTTTTTCGAATTTGCAAAAAAAAAAAAAAGTGATGTGTCCACATAACCTTCTTGGTAGCTTCTTCCTTGGCTAATTAAGGAATGCAATGAATAAGACGTGATTGGGAGAAAGTTGATTGGGCAGATTGGAAAATGGAATGATCAGGAGAATGACGAAATGAAATCGGATTAAAAAGAAACGAAAGAAAAATAAAATAAAAGAGAGAGAGAGAGTAAAAAACAAAAAGTAGAGCTTGACGAATCATAAAAAAAAACAAATATAAATAAAATTTAAAAAATAGGATATGACTCAACCAAATATAGAAAAAATGGAAATAACCAAAAAACAAAAGAAAAAAAAAGAATAATATATACAAGTCGCCATCATGATGAAGTGAGGTCGCGCGGAAGTGAGTAAAAACGTAGAAACGAAGCTTATCTGTAGCTACTCGAGCCATGCAGCGAAGTGAAGGTGGACATGCACACTAAAAAGCCTTACACGACTATCTACAAGTAAACGGCACCAGTGACACTGTATGCCGGTGCCACAGACGCGAGTCCAGGGGAGAAGGGGGGGGGGGGAGGTGGCAGTCTGGGAGGGAGTGTGCAGTGGAACAGTTGAGTGGACTGGGACTTTTGTGTTGTCATGTCATGTCACGTCTACGTTTTTTTTTTTTTTTTTCTTTTTTTTTTTTTTTTTTTTTACTATGTTGGGGCATTGTTTTTTGTTTTGATTTTATAAAATCAGTTAGAGGCTGCTTTTTCAGTTCGATTTAGCATATTCTCTAATATAGGGGAACTATGTAAATTGACTAATTTATAGGAGTACATTTTTCTTGCCTTTTACATAGCGAAAGTGATTTTTGAAAATCCTTTGTAAACTGGATTTTTTTTTTGTGTGTGTGTGCGTGTGCATGTGCGTGCGTGCGTGTGTGTCAGCGTGTGTATGTGCATGTGCGTGTGTAGGCCTAGGTGTGCGTGTGTGTATGCGTGTGCGCGTGCGTGTCCGTATGTGTGTGCGTGTCCGTGTACGTGTAATCACCCGCTCACTAATCCCCCACAGCAATAAAATCTGCTAATACACACAACCTCTACATTCCATCACATCTTTTACCACCCACTACACCTACAAATTTCCCCAATGTCCTAAGTCCCCTCTCCCGTGTTAGTCGGTTCCACGAAGTCGGGAAACGGGATCGCTCAGTAGTATTTAGTCATGTGAGTCGGTTAAACAAAACCAAGTCCTCGTGAGTCAGAGATGAGTCAGATGTTACAGGACTCGCGACAGTGTGGCTGGTGAGAGTGCCTGTCTCACATTCCAGTCTCTTTGTAGATTGTTCCTTTTATTATGATTATTATTATTACTATACAGTCATCGGTGGGTAAACTTGGGAGTCTCGGTTCACAAAACGATATTTGGATCTTGGTACCAAAAATTTTTTTGTTTGTTTGTTTGGCAGTGAATTGTGATTGTGATCTCAGTGAGTCAGGTGATTCGTGATTCGAATCTAAATTTAGATTTATAGAAGGGATATATGTTTATTAATTTATTTATATTATTTTTAAAATTAATCTTGATAACATCGATAATCTCTTCATCGGATAGCCGAATCACAGAAGAGGTAATAAATGGATAAATAATAAAAATCTAATAAACAAGATCACGCGAATATGGTACTTAATTTCTCCTCCTTGGGAACACGAAGGAGAAAAAAAAGAGCTGAGAAAAAAAAAATTATAAAAAATAGAAAGAGAGAGACTGCTGTGTGACTGGCATTGGTCGCGCTGTGGGGGGTGTGGGGGGAGGGGAGTAGTGCCGGAGACTTGGCACCCTCTCGCATAACTCACGTGGATGCCGTGGCGAAGGAGGTCACCCATGGCTCCAGGAGGTTGATGTAAAAAGTGAAGGGATTGCGGCGCGTGCAGAGGAAGTAGATGAGGTTCTGGATGAGCCACTGGTAGATGAGCACGCCCACCACCACCGTCACGATGAAGAGGCCCAGGTTGCTCATGACGGTGCTTAGGTTCTTGACGATCAGGATCTTGCTCATGATTACACTCGCCACGCCCACGGGTGAGAGCCTGGGGGGGGGGGGGAGGGGGGAAGAGGAAGACGTTAGAGGTGATTTTTTTTCTCTCTTTTTTGAAGTGTGTATCTTTCATTCTTTCTCTTGTTCTCATTCTCTCTCTCTCTCTCTCTCTCTCTCTCTCTCTCTCTCTCTCTCTCTCTCTCTCTCTCTCTCTCTCTCTCTCTCTCTCTCTCTCTCTCTCTCTCTCCTTTGTCAATCAATCAATCTCACCTTTACTCACTTAAATCTCACTCCCTCACTCTCACTCTCGTCCTCACACTTACCACATGATTCCAGTCACGATCTTGAGAATGACAGCATCAATTACAGAGAAAAAGTCGACCACCACGGCACCCTTCTTGCCCAGGGACCCAAGGATGGTTCCGAAGACGAGGCAGAAGACGATGATGCCCAAGGTATTCGTTCCTGCCCGGTACTTGACCTGTTTTTAGAAATAAGAAGGTTATAGCGTCAACATCGAGCGAAATGCGGGGAATGAGATGAAACGCATTTTCAAGAGATAATCAAAACGAGGCGGTGAATATGTCGTAATTGTTTAGAAAACGAGTTTGTAAAGAATAAACAAACACCGAAGCTGACGGAATAACTCTTAATTGAGAAGAAAATTGAATTAATGACTAATTGAGAAGATTAAAAGCAATCTTACCGTTCGCACAAGCTCGGTGATCTGTTCTGACTCTCCTGTGCCTGTGATGTTTTCATGGATTACAGACTGTTCGTTATACACAGTGTGTACCTGAAAAAAATGAATAGATAAGAGTTTGTTTTCGTGTTTGCATGACGTTGATATCAACACATTTTATTGCAATTAAAAAAGTGGGAAAGAGAGAGAGGATGAGGGTGGGAGGGAGGAGAGAGAGAGAGAGACAGAGACAGAGACAGAGACAGTGAGATTATGGAAGAGGAAGTGGGGAAGTGATGCATGGTGAGGGTGCAGGGCGGGAGGGAAAACCTATGATGTTGCATGATCAATGAGAGAGAGACAGAGAAGGAAAGTGAGAGAGAGAGAGAGACAGAGAAGAAACTGAGAGAGAGAGAGAGAGAGAGAGACAGAGAAGGAAAGTAAAAGAGAAAGACAGAGATAGAAAAAAAAACGTGACAAACAGATAGACAGACAGAGTGACAGAGAAAGAAGAAGGAAGAAAACAAAGATTTTTCAAGAGGGACGAACCTGTTGGAAAGATGCTTGGAACAGATTCTCCGGGAAGATGTTGCGTCCGAGATCCAAGAATCCATCGAGAATGTTCACAGTGGACGAAGGACCCGCGTCGGTAATCTCACTCGATAAAGCCTGGAGATGAAATGAAAGATTTTTTATTATTTATTTATTTATTTATTATTGAATCGCCATTTCTTCGCTGAGATAGATTTTATTAATTTTTTTTATTATTATTATTTTTTTATTTATTATTATTATTTTTTTTTTTTTTTTTTGGAATCGCCATTTCTCCTCCGCTGAGATTGAATTTTTATTTTTATTTATTTATTTTTTTTTTTTTTTTTTTGAATCGCCATATCTCCTTCGCTGAGATAGATTTATTTTTTTTATTTTATTTATTTTTTTTTTTTGAATCGCGCTGAGAAAGATTTTTCGCCATTTCTCCTTCGCTGAGAGAATTTTTTTTTTTTTTTTTTTTTTTTTGGAATCGCCATTTCTCTTCGCTGAGAAAGATTTTTTTTTTTTTTTTTTTTTTTTTCTCCTTCGCTGAGATAGATTTTTTTTTTTTTTTTTTTTTTTGGAATCGCCATTTCTCCGCTGAGATAGATTTTTTTTTTTTTTTTTTTTTTTTTTTGGAATCGCCATTTTCCTTCGCTGAGATAGATTTTTTTTTTTTTTTTTTTTTTTTTTTTTGGAATCGCCATTTCTCCTTCGCTGAGATTAATTTTTTTTTTTTTTTTTGAATCGCCATTTCTCCTTCGCTGAGATAGATTTTTTTTTTTTTTTTTTTTGGAATCGCCATTTCTCCTTCGCTGAGATAGATTTTTTTTTTTTTTGGAATCGCCATTTCTCCTTCGCTGAGATAGATTTTTTTTTTTTTTTTTTTTTTTTTTTTGGATCGCCATTTCTCCTTCGCTGAGATAGATTTTTTTTTTTTTTTTTTTTTTTTTTTTGGAATCGCCATTTCTCCTTCGCTGAGATAGATTTTTTTTTTTTTTTTTTTTTTTTTTTTGGAATCGCCATTTCTTTCGCTGAGATAGATTTTTTTTTTTTTTTTTTTTTTTTTTTTGGAATCGCCATTTCTCCTTCGCTGAGATAGATTTTTTTTTTTTTTTTTTGAATCGCCATTTCTCCTTCGCTGAGATAGATTTTTTTTTTTTTTTTTTTTTTTTTTTTTTGGAATCGCCATTTCTCCTTCGCTGAGATAGATTTTTTTTTTTTTTTTTGAATCGCCATTTCTCCTTCGCTGAGATAGATTTTTTTTTTTTTTTTTTTTTTTTTTGGAATCGCCATTTCTCCTTCGCTGAGATAGATTTTTTTTTTTTTTTTTTTTTTTGGAATCGCCATTTCTCCTTCGCTGAGATAGATTTTTTTTTTTTTTTTTTTTTTGGAATCCATTTCTCCTTCGCTGAGATAGATTTTTTTTTTTTTTTTTTTTTTTTTGGAATCGCCATTTCTCCTTCGCTGAGATAGATTTTTTTTTTTTTTTTTTTTTTGAATCGCCATTTCTCCTTCGCTGAGATAGATTTTTTTTTTTTTTTTTTTTTTAATGGAATCGCCATTTCTCCTTCGCTGAGATAGATTTTTTTTTTTTTTTTTTTTTTGGAATCGCCATTTCTCCTTCGCTGAGATATTTTTTTTTTTTTTTTTTTTGGAATCGCCATTTCTCCTTCGCTGAGATAGATTTTTTTTTTTTTTTTTTTTTCGCCATTTCATTTCTTTCTCTTCGCTTTTTTTTTTTTTTTTTTTTTTTTTCCTTCGCTGAGATAGATTTTTTTTTTTTTTTTTTTTTTTTTTTTTTTGAATCGCATTTCTTTCGCTGAGTGTTTATAGTGCATCTCGCTGTTCCTTATTCTTTCCATTTTTTTTTTCTTTTTCTATTTTCTTTTGAGATGTACAATTTAGAATCATTTACGGGCGAAATATAACCATAGTGTTTTTTCTTTTTTCTTTTTTTCAATCCTTTTTTTTTACTATTTTTTATGAAGTTGCTTTTAAAAATGACATTGAACGGGGATAGATTCTGGACAATTGAACTCTGGCTAGAAATATCCTTAGATTTTTCACTCTAACCGACACCCATGCAGAAATTATTCGCCAAGTAGGCCTATCCGCCTGTCCGCAATCATTTATTCTTCCTTCCTTATTTATCAAAAACATTTCTCTCATCATAAGAAAAAAACCATTTGTAAAATCGATCAAGATATGTTATCCAATCATTTCATTACTATTAAACATTCACAAATCAGTCCACATTCAGACATATTAACTAATCACCATTACATTATCGTTAAACACTCACAAATCAATCATATTAACTAATCACCATTACATAACCTGAAACATCAAAATTAATCCATATTAAGACATAATACCTACCACCATTACGTTACCATTAAACATTCACAAATTAAACCACATTAAGACATATTAACCAATCACCATTTCATTATCGTTAAACATTCACAAATCAATCCATATTCATATTAACTAATCACCATTACGTTACATTAAACATTCACAAAATTAATCCATATTAAGACACAATACCTACCACCATTACATAACCATTAAACATTCACAAATCCATTTTTTTTCTCTTACCTCTTTGGCCAAGGGAGATCCTGGGTGAATAGCAATGGCCAGCAAGACCCCCAATATGGCATTAAGGAGGGAAGTGGCCATAAAATAGAGCACTGTCTTCACCACGATGCGACCATTCATCTTGGCGTTGAGACTGGCTGATCCTGTAAGGGTGAAAATCGCGGGATGAAGATGGTGATTCGAGGGTTTTCTGGGATGTGGTTTGGGGGGGGGGGTGGGGGTGGGGGGTGGGGGGGAGAGGTGGGGTAGGGGTGGATGTGTGTGATGTGTG